TTCTCTTAGTTCGTGAGAGTATTTTAAGTCCTGTAATTTAAACTTTTGTCCACTAGAGGTCCTTAGTTAAGTTTGTTACCAGACTTTCTCTTGAAAATTTGTTTCAGTCTCTAAATAGCTTTTTCAAAAATTAATGAAATATAAACTTTTCAAATAAAGTTCAAGATAATGCTTCAGGTGAAAATTTGTGCTGTAATTGTTAGTGCATTTAATAATGTTAAAATTTTACACAGGATCTTTAAAAATCTGTAAATACCTTTGGATGTGTGGTAGAAGATTTAAGCATTACTTGTGATTTTTGTACTATATGTAATCTTATTGAAATAAGGATTTTTTGTGTTAAATTACTTTTTTATTGTTAAGTTTTATCTTTTTTCCCCCTTTAATTTTTATATTTTTCTTAAAGGGTTTTGGGACTGGAGTTAAACAAAGACAGAGATGTTGAAAGAATCCATGGCAGTGGAGTTAACACACTTGACATTGAACCTGTTGAAGGGAGATAGTAAGTTTGTTATGCTTATATAATCATTTTTCTTTCTAAGTGAGATGTAGTAAAATCTTGCTTTTTCAGATAATGTAGAAGTTTCATAAAAATTAGTAAAAATTCTAAATTGTAGCATTTTTTAATCTGGCATTATTATGATTTATGTATAATAAATACAGAACAATAAACCTACAAAATGTTGCCAAATAAACATTTCCAAACTACTTTAATGTAAATATATTCATTGTTAAATCAACAAACATTCAACTTATTTTGGATGTAGAACAGTTTTTAAGTGTTGGATATGTCTTTAGGTGCTATCTTAAAACATAGTTGCTACTCTCAAGGTGTCTAATGGGAAAAAAATATATAAAAAACAAAAGTGTATTTTGGAGAATTAAGTGTGAAGCAAACCAGAATTATATTTGAGTTCCTCCTGGCTTTACCACTTACCAGCTTTGTGACCTAGAGCAATTTACCTAACCTTTCTAATTCTCAGTTGCCTTAACTATACAATGGGAAAAATAATACCTACCTAACAAGTTTGTTGTGAGGATTAATTGAGATATTGTGTATAACATGCTTAGCATAGGAGCTGGCTTATCATAAATGGTTGCCACCAGTACTGCTGGTATTAATCAAAAGCAGTACCACATATACTTTTACTCCTTTCAGTCCATTCTCCCTCCACACAGTAGCTGAAGTACTTTGAAAAAGGCAAGTCTGAACGTATCATTCCCCATCTCACAACTCATCATGACACCACATTAACTCTTATAAGAAAGTTCAAAACCCTTCATGTGGTATATAATTAGACCATATGTAAAAGTAACCAAAGAAAATAGTTTGTCATGTTATGGTATGTTTAGCATTTACCCCTGAAATTTTATAAATAAAACATCATCATCATCATCATCATCATCATTATTATTATTTATGTTAAAATAAGCCAGGATGGGTGTGATAAACTACTACTTTTTACATCCAGCTTCTGCCATGGTCTCAGCTAGTAGTATGTGAGAAACATGTACAGTGAATAGAATTATCACATTAGAATGTGGTTAAATCTAAACGATGACCAGCAATAATTCTCTTCTTTTTCCTGACCTTTTCTCAGCTCAACATAACACCTCCTATGCAAGGACAGCTGCAGGGCACTCACTTATAAAATATATGCAGACATGAGCAGCAAGGGATAGCTGATTTCTTTTGGTCTTGGGTGCTAGTGGGAAAAGTATTGAGTACTGCTACTCTAGCCAGCCATTTGGGTTAGTGATTAGTTGGCAGAGTCAGTGGGGAATTTTAGATTATGTGTGCATGAAATATGTTTGAGAAATACAGCCTGAGAAGTCTTTTCAGAGAGAATATAGAGAAAGGTCTGAAGATTCTTGCTGCAGTGGTTTTCCCCTTTAATGTGTGGTAAAAATCTACAACTATTTATTTCATTGTTTGCTGGGACTTATATTTTGCATAAAACCCTTTTGGTAGCAAAAGAAGAAATAAAAACAACAGTGTGTGTTTGAAAAATTAAATATTGATTTCCTTTTTCTTAAGAAAATCAATAATGTGTAACTTGCTCAAAATACATGTTAATAATTTACCATTCACTGTGAGAACTATGGTGATGTCACTGAAAACCAGAATAAAAACCAGAATACACAAGTCTGGTAAAGAAGTATATAATTTCCATAGTTAGGAATTATTTTAAGAAGACTATCTGAAATTACATTTTAACAGGTGCAGCTGCCGAAGATGTATTTGCATATCACTGCGAAGCTTGAATCTTCTTTTATATCTTCTAAATTCTTCTAAATTAGTTTCTTTCATCTTTAATACCAAGTTTTCTGGTTTGTAGAAAATGTGAAGTCATATCTTTTAATATGTTCGCTCTATTGGCAGAATAGTAACCTCACAGTTAGATAATATTAATTCATTCAGATACTTCAAATAGAGGGGCTGGCCCGGTGGCGCACTGCTACAGTGCGCCACTTGGGAAGCGCGGCGGCGCTCCTGCCGAGGGTTCAGATCCCACATACAGACCGGCCGCTCACTGGCTGAGCGAGATGCGGGAGCAACACCGAGGGTTGCGATCCCGTTGCCGGTCCCGGTCCCGTACAGGCATGACACTGAGGGTTGCGATCCATTGCCGGTCACGAAAAAAGACAAAAAGGGGAAAAAGAAAAAAAAAAATAGAAAGTCAGTTAATTTTACTAATCGTTCAATTTTTTTGTGCAATTAATGTAATCAAAGGAAAGCTTTTGGAAGCCATTCTAACAAAGGCAAAACATCTGACATTATTGTAATTTTGGGAGATGAACAGAACCAGGAAATCTCTGGAGTAAGCTGCCATATTTTGAACATTCTAAAAAAGGAAAAATAAAAAAATTTAAAAAGGAAGAAGAGGATGTTCTAAAGAGGTAAAATTTATTATTGGATTATTCTAAACCAAGCATCCATTCTAATAGTTTAGAAAAATAAATTTTACATAAAAATGAGCAAAAAAAAAAATAGGACTAAGGTCAAAGTCCATACAAACTTATTATAAGAACAAAGAGAATAAGAAGTAGAGTAATCCTCTACAGACAATGAAGTCATGCCAGAAAGATATGTCCATAAAACAGATGAGAACTCTAACCTAATTTCAGAACTAGCTAAAAGTCATTTTTAAAAGATTTAGTAAGTGAACGAATAATATAAGATGGAATTATAAAAACTCAGAAATAAGATGATCAAACTCAAGAAAAAAATTAGAAATAAAAGAAAAATATTTCAGGAATGAAGACTACAACATGAGGAACACAAGCAAATAAATATGAGTAGTGCCTGAGAAATAGAAAATACAAAGGAAGAAATTTTTTTAAATCAAAAAGAAATGAAGAGAGGAAAACGATTCAAGAGGTAGGTACATACGAGGGTGCTTCAAAAAGTTAATGGAAAAACAGAATTAAAGATAACACAAATCTTTCCATGAATGTTTTGAAGTCTCTTGTGTGTAGAATATAGGCAAAGAAGATCCAGTATACATATAATGGGAGTTCCCAAAGAAGAACACCAGTGAAAGAGAACAGAATAAATATTGAAACTATAATTCAAGAAAACTTTCCTAGAATACATAAGATCTGAAACATAAGGGGCAAAATATCATATTGTCACCAGACTGACTTTGGGCTTTATGCCCCCCAAAATGAAGTTTTTATCTAAGGGGCTCAAGGGAAAAAAAATGTGAGTCAAGGATTTTATATCCAGCCAAATTGATTTTCAAGTACAAAGGGACAAATTGCCAATAACATAAAAAATTCAGGGAATGTTCTTCTCATTAGCCTTTACTTAGGAATCTACCAGAGAATGAAATCAGACAGCCAGGATAACTAGAGGGACAGCAACATAAGGAGTGATGGTGAGCAATAATATTAGCAAATAGTAATATTTTATATGGACATATAAATTTGTGGATCTAGGTATTGGTTTGGCTGCTAATATCACATCACAGTAAAGACATCAGTGACAGAGATTATTTTAAATTATAGCACATGAATGCAGTCACCAAAGTTCAGGCTAGCAATTGCAGGACAAATGATTTGGTTTCTGCAACAGATAAATTGCAAGAGAGGGAGAAAGTAAAGGAGGGAGGAAGGGGGTGGGAAACCTATAGACTGAAGGTAAAAGACATTAAAGTTTTTTTTTTGTTTTTTTTTTTTCTCCAGAATTTTTTTTTACAAAATCTTTGAATAGAATAATTTTACAGGTTCTACCAATATAATAGACCAGTTTGAGAGCAGATGCATAATTGTTTCCAAAAAACTATATCATTTATTTTATAGCACCCTCTTTTATTCTTGAAAGTAAGGCTCTTAGTGGTCTGGCCCATGCTGACTTCTCACCTCTCACAACTCTTTCCCTTCTATACTGCTCCGGTAAAACCTTCCTTCTTTTCTTAGAAGGGACTTGGATTGTTACTTTCACACTTATCTGGCTAATTCCAATTCCTTTTTCAGATACCAACTTAAATATTTCAATCCCTGAAACCGTCCCTGAATCACCAAACTGATTAAAAATAGGCTATTGTCACAATGATTCCAGTTATAACTAACAATTTGTGTGATTGTATATACTCTGTCTTCCTACTAGATTGTAAACTCTGGGAGGACAGGAACCATGCCTGTCTTGTTCACAGCTGAATTAGCAGAGTGCCTAATGTATTGTAGGTGCTCATTTAAAGTTGAATGGATTGAGTGAATGCATTCATAAGAGAGGGAAGGAATCTAACATTTATTGATTTCCCTATTTTTTTGCCAGACACTATAAAAGGAATTTTGCACTAAACTTTGTGATTTAGTTAAAATGTCCCCCCCCCTTTTTTTTTTAAAAACGTTGAAAGACGTAAGTGATGTAATTTGCCCAGAGTCAGATAGCTAGTATCAGTGATAGCTGTTCTAATTCTATTTTCATTTAGCACAATTATAATTCAGTTATCTAAAATAATTTTTTGTAATATTTTACTATTTTAATTTTTTTAATTCTACTTTTTTAAGTAAGAAATACCTTTTACCTTCTTGTTTCTACCATCTTTTCTTTTTGGAATCATGAAGGTTAACTAAATGATCACAGATTGAATTTTTCTATATTCATTCTTCTATACATATTAAGTTAAGAAAATTTAGTTCATTGAAGTCTGTGTTAATGAGGATTAATTGTATTTATGGTCTTAATACATTTGGGTGTTTGCAGATCAATTTTCAGAAATTTGCAGTCATCATAAATAAATGGACTATATAAAATGATAAATTAATGTGAATTTTTTCATTCAGCATGTTATCAGGTGGTTCAGATGGTGTGATTGTGCTTTATGACCTTGAGAACTCCAGCAGAAAACCTTATTACACATGTAAAGCATTGTGTTCCATTGACAGGTGTGTATCAAAAATGTAATTCATGAATTTATAAATGGTTGAGTATTTTTTACATTAAATGCAAAACATGAAAATAATAGTTATTTGGCTCAAGCAAATTGTTTAGATGACATATTTAAAGCATATTAATGCTTTCTTGAAAATAATAACTGAAACGCAGGTATAAATTTTGTAACATATGACTTCTCCCAAAAAACTCTGGTATCAGTTTTCAAAAGGATTTTATTAAAAGACTTTTGATTATGATGTCCTTTTTGTTCTGGACCTACATAGCACACCTCAGTAACTACTTAACAGTTTTTAGTACCACTTAATTTAGGATGCATTTCTGAGTCTTTCAGCTAATTATAAACCCCAATTAGATTTTTAACTAATATTAATGGTAACAAAAGATTAAGAGCTAGCTATGATACATGTACTGGCATTCCTTTACCAAACATACACACACACTCCCCATTACCTATACACCTCTCATGTCTCTCTACTCACACAAAGATGCCTAACTTAAAAATGTACTTCTATTTGTCTTGATTTCTCTGACTATTCTTTACTGGTTTACTACTCTTAAGAAAATTATTTTTAAGTCTCTAATAAAATGTTTTGTGATGTTATTGTAGTTTGTTCACAGTGGTCTTTAAATCTTCCTCATTTCCTATGTCTGATGTGATATTGAGCAGACCTTTGAATTAACAGAAAGAATGGGTGCTGAGAAAATGCTTTTAAGAGGAAGAACTTCGTCAACATTAACATCATCAACCATGTTGTATTAAAGCTGTTCTCAAAGTACTAGAATAGGTGTTTAAGTCCGTGGAATATTTGTGAGAAGATTTAGGATTGTTTTTTGGCTCTGGAGCTTCACTTTGGACATACAAATTTGGGAAAGTCAGTTAATCTCTCTGAGCTTCAGATTATTTTGTTTCAGAGGTAACTATACTTGCCCTGTCATTCTTATAGGGTTTTTGTGAGAATTAAATGAACTATTATCTTTAAAAAAGCATGTTGAAAACTATAAAACCACCATGTAAATGGAAAGCAATGTAGTTATATGAAAACTTTGTACAAAGCAAGATATCACCTCAACTACTGTGGGACTTGCTTTTTAAGAGGCTTAGACCATTTATACTCTCCTCAGACCATTTATACTCTCCTCACCCTCACCAAAAAAGTATAAATTCTAAAGTGTAAGACAGTCATATTAATTTAATTCATTTTATCTTATTTTATCCTACCTAACATTTTAACATTTTTCAATTTGTTATACAGCAAATTTGTATTTTCATATATTCTATATGCTATATAATGTTATTACATGAGGGACAATGATCTGCTTTTATGATATGTAACATAAGTAAATCCTTAGTGTGTTGGTCTTTTGTTTTACTGTGACTTTATTCTTGGATTCAAACTCTATGTTTAAAAGTGTGATTTTGAATTTGAAAATGGGCATATTTACAAAATGAGTTAAAATTGCATTTTTTACATCTGAAGAGCTTACAGTCTAATTTTTAAAAGTAATTTCAATAAAGATTTAAGTTAATGTGGATTAGACTATTTTCTGATGTTAACTGGTGGTATACTTAATGTCTTTGTTCTTGAGCACTAAAAAGATTCCTGTACCAAAATTCTTATTAAATGTGAACACATGGTCATACATAGTAAAAGAATAATATTTTGCCTTATTTTAAAATTAAAATTTAAAATATAAGTGAGCTTTTATTTGTGGTCACTACATTAAAGATTTCTTTTATTTAAAACTAATATCACTGGAAAAAATTTGCAGAAGTCAAGATTCATAAGCAGAAATTTATGGAAGGATATTTAGTATCTCACATAACTGTCAGGAAGATGGGAGAATCAGATGTAGAAAATGAGCAGAAAGAGAAGCTAGGATGTAAAATACAGTCAAGGTCACACCCCTGGAATAATTTAGTATGGATTCTGCTACATGTCACCAAGACAGACTCTAAACTCTCAGCCGTGAATAATGGCTAACTCTCCCTGGGGTTTGCATTACCAGCCCTAGATTTAGAGTCTCAGGCGGGATTGCTGAAGCTCGGGACACATATTCTTGCCCATGCTTCCAAGGGGAAAGAAAAGAATGCCTGGAGGCCCTTGCTTGCTGGAACAAGAGGCAAGGCCCTTCTTTTCAATGAAACCAAGGGGATTTCCCCCAAATAGGAGGAGTTTGAATGCTCAGCAGCCAAGAAAAAGGGCACATGTCCACTGCAACTCAACCTATTTGTCTACTCAACATCCATACACACCTTCCCATATTTACTCTTTTTCTAAAAAAAAAAAAAAGGTCCAGCCTAACCTAATACAGTATCTTCTATACAACCTAAAAGATGATCATTCTCTTCCCAAACAGTGATGATCCTAAGTCTATTTAGTTAACACATTTGCCTCCAGTTTAGGGTAGTACCAGTTTTTCCATTAGTTTTACATAATCTTATATCTGTATTCAACTTGTGGGCTCAGTTGTATAGTTAACCTATATGAAATAATGGAAGTAAGAGAAGAAAGGGGAAATCAGTTAAAATATATAAATATCTACATGACAGAGAAAGAAAGGCAATATGGGTAGGGAGTACAGTTTTGTATTTTCATAGCTGTGTCAAAGCCAGAGCTGGCACTTAAGACTTTCCCTTTTCATGTTCTTTTTTCTTCAGTTAGCACCACAAATGTTCAGGGTCCCAAATTCACCCGAAGGAATCAGAACCCATCATGGTCCTGTGTGCATAGGGTTGTAGTAGTCTTCAGTTAACTTTTGTTTTATTATGGGAAATGTATAACACATGCAAAAGTAGAGATTAATATAATGAACTGTGCACCCACCACCCAGCTTCACCAACTGTCAGTCATAATCAATCTTGTTTCATCTCTCCTCCACCACTCATCTGCCCTCAGGATTATTTTGAAGCAAATCTCAGATAGCATATCATTTCATCTGTAATTATTTGTTTATATCTCTAAAAGATAAAGATTTTATAAGCAAAACCACAGTACCATTATCTCATATACACAATAATTCTTGACCTTAAATATCTAGTCAGTGTTTGAATTTCCACTCATTGTCTTATAAATAAACAGCCAGTTTGAATTAAGATTCAGTAAGGAGACAAATGTCACTGTTTCTGAGCATGTACTGCATCCTTCAGAACAGCGCACTGCCCTCACAAGGTGATGTATTGTAGCTGATATCATAACCGAGTCTTCAACAGATACCTGGCATCCACCAATTGCATTCTTTTGTCATAGGATAAGTTCCTCAATAAGTAGCAATATTGTGTGGGATACCATGGAGATGTGTGAGGCATTCAACAATTCAAAAAATGGTAGTGCTAACAGAGTGATACTTGGGAAAAGCAAATCCAAAACCAGAACATTCAACAATTCAAAAAATGGTAGTGCTAACAGAGTGATACTTGGGAAAAGCAAATCCAAACCAGAATAGGTACCTCTTCCAGTAGGGATAAATCATTGCCACTTTCAAGATGGAAGAAGTCCAGTGTAACTGGCTCATCCTTCCAGGCTATATATAGTGCAGAAGTAGAAAGTCTCCCACATTATGAACCTTCGTAGGAAGCAGGCCTCCACATCACACTATAGAAACGTGGATCTAGAGGTGTCTAGACATTCTCCCTCTGCTTCTTCTGGACAGCTAGGACACAGGCATGTGATTTTCATTTGGTCATTCATATCATCCTGCCTGAGACTGATACTTGTTCTTAAAATGATACCAGTTTTGAAACTCAAGTCAGTTATCTGTAAGTTTTGGTTGCTGTTTTATAGAAACCATCCTGATGTTCACAAATACAGTGTGGAGACCGTACAGTGGTATCCTCATGACACTGGCATGTTCACATCAAGCTCATTTGATAAAACTCTGAAAGTTTGGGATACAAACACATTACAAGTAAGTACATTAAAACCTTTCTAAATTACTCTGTAGGATGAAGGAGAATTTAATCCTAAACATTTTTAGTGTGATTATTTGCTAAGATGTCATATGTCTGATGTGAAAGCAGTACAATGGTTAAGGGAGAGCAAGACTGCTTGAGTTCATATACTGGCTCTGCTGCTGACGAGCTAAATGGCATTGGGCAAACACTAAACCTCTCTGTGTGTCAGTTTCCTCATCTGTAAATGGAGGTAGTGATTATACCTTATAGAATAGTCGTGAGGATTAAATAAGCTGATATATGGAAAGGACCTAGGACAGTGCCTGTCATTTAGTATATGCTCAGACACTCAGTGATTATGGTTACCTTTATTATTTGAAAACTACTACAGTCTAGAGATCTAATGAAGAAAATTGGATTTATTTCATACTGATCTAAAAACTTAAAGGAAAAGCAAGCTATTAATTATTGTAGCTTAGTGGGCTGGCTAGTTAGCTCAGCTGGTTAGAGCACAGTGTTATAACACCAAGGTCAAGGGTTTGGATCCCCATACCGGCCAGCCACCCCCCCCAAAATACACACACACACACACACACACATTGTAGCTTAGTAAACGTAGATAGTGGATAATCATTTTCATGATATTTGATCAAATTTAAATTTCTAGTGCTAATCTGTTCCCAGAGCTCTACTCCCATATTTCTCTACCTTTCTACAGAACCTCTTTATCATCTCTTCAACCTTAAAATGTTCCAACCTGAACATGACTGTTCCTCACATTCATTTAGTCATACGATCTTAGAAATTCTTTCAATCTCTCTCATACTTCTCTTTTCCATTTCCCTCACCATCACTGCACATGTAGACTGCTAAAAACTCCTAACTTCCCTGCCTTACTTTCCTGTGCATATCTTCTACACTAAGTTCTACCCCAGAGTTAATCTTGTTACAAAGCAGTTTCATCATGTCTCTACCCCATTCCCTCTAGTGATTCCCATTGTCTAAACTCAGCCTGGCATTCTCAGTTCTCAATAACTTCACCCCGTATTCTTTCAACCCTCGCTTCTGTCTCTTTTTAATACAAATGATTTGCTGCAGCTAAATTGATCTCCTTTTGCCTGCTGATCACATCTTGATTATGTTATATTTCCTATCTCAAGTCCCTTTCCCTGTGCAACTTTTTCCTTCTCTTAAGGTCACATCTCTTCTTGTAATTACATTGAACCAAGAATCAGGACACCAGTTCTAGTCTGATTCTGCTACTTATTAGATGTGTTACTGTTTTAGACCGTTTGTGTTGCTATATCAGAAATACCTTAGACTGGGTAATTTATAAAGAACAGAGGTTTATTTGGCTTATGATTTTGGGACAGCTGCATCTGGCACAGGCCACAGGCTGCTTCCACTCATGGTGGAAAGTAGCAGGCAGCTGGTGGGTACAAGCAGATCACATGGCGAGAGGAAGCAAGAAAGAGAGAGGGGAGGTGCCAGGGTCTTTTAAACAACCAGCTCTTGGGGGAACTAATAGAGTGAGATCTCACTCAGGCTCCTCTCCCCCAGAGAGAGTATTAATCTAATCCATTCATGAGGGATCCACCCCCATGACTCAAACAGCTCCCAAGGCTGCCACATTGGGGATCAGATTTCTGCATGAGTTTTGGAGGGGACAACATATCTAAACTGTATCAGTTACTTTAGGTAAATTATTTAATTTAGTGGAAAAGATCTCTTCAGCTGTAAAATTAAGGTATCAGACTAGGTGATATCTAAGCCTTCCAGTTCTTTGATGCAGTCAGTTTTCAGCTTCTAGAGTCCCTATTAATCACCCTTTCATTTTAAGTTTATAGCACTATTTTTTGTATTCTTATTTCAACACATTCTTATGCCATTTTATAATATCATTTTCATATCTGTATGTTTTATCTGTTTTGATTTGGGGTTTTTTTGCAGCCGGCCAGTATGGGGATCTGAACCCTTGACCTTGGTGTTGAACACCTTGCTCTGAACAACTTAGCTACCTGGCCAGCCCTTTTATCTGTTTTTCTGGATTTTTATTTCCCAAAGGAAAGGACTATGTTTTATATACTACTAAATTCAATGCTGTGTATAGTAACTGCTGAATAAATACTAATGATCTCTGTAACCGATGACATATTAATAACTAATAAAATGAAGTGTAGATATGATTCTAATAAGAAAAACGAACTGCTATGTAAATACAAATTTTGTACACTTCTGATAATTCCAGCTAAATGATGAGTTTTTTTACCTTGCTGTTTTAGAAAAAAATAGACTTATCATTGTGGATTTATATTTATAATACAATTATTTATTTTAAATACATGTCATCAAAAATGAGAATATATTTTAAAGATTAAATGAATGTCATGAACTTCCACTTCTGACTATAATGGAATATTTTGTAGCCAAACCAGCACCTCCACTGAGAAAAACTAGAAAAGGTAAATAAAACATAAACATTTGTTTGAGGGTTTTAGAAAGCTGCTAAGGAATCTAGGACTTGAGAGGCCAGATCCTAGAGAGAAGGAAAACTTATAGAAGTGAATTTAATTTTCCATACACTATTTTCCCCTTTGAGCATTTGCCATTTCTTGATATAGGGCAAGAGATCTAGAAGGCAGGCATTGGGTAACGTTTAAGAAGCAGAGAAGTGAGCAGGACCTTAGTGAATTTCACAAGGCTGGGGAGACAGAAATTGGAATGTAGAGCTGCCAAGACAGCCAGAAATTAAAGAGTCAAGATCACAGAAAGACGAGAGGTCCAAGGAAGTCATCCTGACACTTGGCTCTGGTTCTCCCCTTGAGGCATTGGCTGATCAAGCTATGTAAGACCACAGAATAAGTGAAGTAGAAAACATCTGAAAACCACAGCAGAGTTTTTCTCAGTCACATGGTACTAGAGAGAAAAATGGCTGTGCAGTACATTACTTGCTAAGTAGGACGAGGCCTAGATAAAACCCAAGGCTCTTAATTAGGTCACCTGAGAGAGTATACCCTAAGAATGTGTACACATGGGGATAAATGGAGCCTGTAGTAGGAAAAATAATGCCCCCTCCTCCCCAAGACATGTATGTCCTAATCCCCAGAACCTATGGATATGTTATGTTACATGGCAAAGAGGGATTAAAGTTGCTGCTCACCTGACCTCAATATAGGCAGACTATCCTGGATTATCCTGGTGGGCCCAATGTAATCACAAGGGTCTTAAAAAGTGTAAGTGGGAGGCAGAAGAAGAGAGACATAGGGAAATGTGACTATGAAAGAATGGACAGAAAAAAGTAAAATTGTGGGCCGGTCCAGTGGCACACGGGAGAGTGCGCCGCCTGGGAGCGCAGTGGCGCTCCCGCCGAGGGTTTGGATCCCATGTGGAGACCGGTTCCCGCTCACTGGTTGAGCGCGGTGCGGGCGCAACACCAAGGGTTGCAATCCCCTTGCTGGTCCCCGGTGCAGGCGCGTCACTGAGGGTTGCGATCCCATTACCAGTCAGTAAAAAAAACAAAAAGGAAAAAAAAAAAGTAAAATTGTTGGCTTTGAAGACGGGTGAAGGGGACCATGAGCCAAGGAATGTGGGTGGCCTCTAGAAGTTGGAAAAGGCAAAGAAAAGGATTTTTTTCCTGGATCCTCCAGAAAGGAATGCAGCCCTGTCAACATCATATATTGTGAG